GTAGTAGGGCTGTGTCTGTGGAGGGGTTGTGTGTTGTGAGTGCGTCTGGTAGTTATTTTGTACAACATTTTTTACTATTTAATTTATACACATATATGAGTATATATATATTATATATACACATACATACATTTATCTTTTTTAACCTTCAGGAATTCATAAAAATGAAGTTCCATGTGTCGGCTAAATTTGAGGATTGCGGTAGCGACGGGTCACTGGTGCTGTCTCTTATACACATCTAGATGTGTATAAGAGACCACACAAAAAGTCCTTAACGACAACAGCGCGTATTTTGACGCGCTTTTTTGATTTCACGAACTAACACAATTGAATTTAATTGTGTTAGTTTGTGATGTGAGCGACGAAATGATACTGTTACTATATTATTGTTACATAATGTTTATTTTAATTATAATTATTTTTTTTACGATTTCCAAAAATAATAACTGTATTACTTACACTGATTTATTTATGTCGTGTTTGTAGTGGCATTCTGGAATTAGATTCACTTTCGTATTCTTTTTTGTAGTTACATCCTTTAAAATTTAGTTTAAAAGAAAGAAAATTCAAATGAAATTGTGGCACAATTTGGAATACAGCTGCATATAATTATCCGAATGGGTACATATCACAAATGCACATATGTTATATATTTATTTGGCGTTATTTGTCCGGGCTGTAGAATAGCCATAGGCCTAGTTAGAATTCTTACTCTCTGGGTCTGGATAATTAATCGGCAAAACTCCTCTTGGAGCACCACACCGATTGGGTCACAGTCAGTCTGTCAGGTTACCATGAAAGTGAAGATTTATTTTTATATTTGAATTAAGAATGAAAACAAGCAAAAAAAAAAGTAACTAAAAGTAAAAAACATCGTGAAGATAAGACAATCAACAGTAGGAAGGATAGCCATTAAAACCGCTCCATTTTCCATCAATTTGATAGGCCTACACAGTTAAGGGCTCGCTAGCACCTCAGGAGCTCTAGTATCAATATCATCTGATTACCTAACCTACATAAAACAAAAGAAAAAGAGAAAAAAAAAGCAAGAACAAAACACCACACAAACATTGAAAGAATTAAACATTTAAACAAAACGGTCCTTGAAATTAGTAAGAGATGGAGGATTCAATAACTAATATTGATAGTATATTATTATCCAATTCTTCATCAATACTATTATTATAGACCTATGAAATTTTATGTTTCCATGACAAACAATAGTTTGAAAAATGTAGTTCCAAATGGTTTACCTTAATAGAAGGGAAGTGTATCTCACAGTTGGTACTTATTTCATTCTGATTTCTGTCGTAAATATCGATGGTCACGATGTCAGACCCAGTGTGCAACTCATCCCCATTGCTGTAAAATTGAACCTACTGTCAGGAACGAATAATCATGTACTAAATACAAACATGTATTGTTATGTCAGTATGATGTAACATTATTGACATTAAAAACCAGTGTTCAATTTAATGAAATATTTATTTTGCGACAACATAATGATAACAATACCCTGTATCAACATGGACTAATATATTAAAGGCACTGTAGTGCTGGCATGGTACTGTTGTTTGGTATAGTAATAATAATAGTGATGATGATGACGACGACGGCGGCGGCGATGGTAGTGCATCTTAACCACTAATCACCGCTGCCATATTATCATGACTACTTATGAATAGGCCTATGATGTGTTTACAGAATATGCTAATTTCCATGTCTTATATTTAGGCTATTTATTATTGAAATTTTAAAACTTAAATTTGAAATTATGAAACACTTGAACAACTACCATCTTATTTATAATGTATATTACATATGACATGCACTTACTAGAACAAAAAGATAAGGTTTTAAAATAAAAAATTGTTGCTTAAACAAAACTTACACAGATGTTAGAGCGGTGACTTGGATATACCTCAGACTTGCATACAGGTTGAATGGACCATCTAAATATAAACAACTTAAATTAGGACCTAATAAATATATTTATTTAAAAAAAATACTATTCGTCTAAAGCCAAATAGATTGTGTATATTTTATTAAATTTATTAAGCCGGGCACTCCCTGCGTCGTACAGCCTTTGCAAGACGAACCAAACTCCGTTCCATGCGGGCGCTAAACGACGCGACGCTATCTGCTGATTGTCCATGATAGTCATTGGCCGTATTCGACTGGTCGTTCTTCGTTAACCCACGCCCACCTGCGCAGCAGTAAAATCGATCAAAAAAAAAAAAAGACGACCAGTCGAATAGAAAACTTGTAAATACTCGACAAAAAAAAATAGCTGTATAGTTACAGCAATACACATTGCGTAATCAAGATTGCTTCAAGATTGCGTGGTAGTATGGGTTTTTCGTAAAATATTTATTTCATCCAGTTTTTTAATTATGTTAGCCTACAATTATTTTTTGACTTCATGTGGGTAAATATTACAATTTTTATTTTATGAAATTTAATCTAAGTAATATTAACGCAAATGTTGTTTATAACCTCACCAATCGGTCATGTGTTTTTTTTTTCTTTTGGTCACGTGGATAACGCTGATTAACGCACTCTGGTTTACGTTAATCTTCGTTGTCAACAAAGTCTATTAACGATCCTTTGCGCGCGCGTCGTTGCGTTGCGTTTTGAGAAAACCGCGTCGGCCGACGACTGTCGGGCCCGGTCAGTGTCACCAGATTTATTGAAATTGTTATAATAGCAAACGACAAACCACTTTTTGTAAGAGTGACAAGTAATAGAATTAACATTAAATAGCCTAGCAATTTCAAAGATGTTTTTAGTTAATAATATGAATACCTCCTTTCCATGGAAGTTGAGCTGAAGCCGAGAAAGTGACATTATTCGGTTCAGATGTTAGATGGACGTTGAATATAATCGGCGTTTCTGAATTACAAAATACACCAGCTGAAATGCAAAATTAAATTATTTTAAATTTGTAAGAACACCGAATAGATTTTGTTAAGGATCATCTAGTACTTGCACCAGCTGTACTCCTTCCCTCTTTTCGTTGAAAAAACTGACCCCTTTTCAATCTAATTCTAAGTAGAATCATCCACATGCTGATCTGACCAAATTTATTCTGATCGCACTTTCTGTTGTTGTGGTCTATAAATATAATTTTTACAATTTAAGCATAAAAAAATCTTTCATTGACCCGCATTTAGGGTGTTCACTTCTAGACTCTGACAGAAGCTCAGGTCGATCGTGTTTGGGCAGAAATTTTGGGCCAGGCTACAATTACCATAATTCTATAATGTTTCTGACAAATCTATAGCCTCAGTGCTTCGCTCATAATGAGTCAAAAGTACTATATTATTACTTTAGCCACATGGGACAAGAATATGCTTTAGGTAATGCTTTTTAAAATGGCAATTCCTTTACAAAGCAAAAATTCACGAAAGTGTATCTGTATAGACCATGTAGAAAATTTCATTATGAGAGAATTGTTTTATGTTCGTGGGAAAAATCCTGTTACTGTGACTGGAATTGATCCCAGAAGAACCCGAGGATCGGAAGTTATCTCAGCCACCAAACTATTCAACTTAACTTATGTTAGCCGCCAAGCAGCGCTATCAAACTACACTCATCATCATCATCGCCACCATCATAGTAGTAATCATAGTCATCGTTATCGTCATCTTCGTCATAGTCAGTCATATCCCCAGTTTGTAGCTGGAGTACGTTGTTACTAATTTTATTGCTTCTCTTTCATAGCAGAGGCACAACCGTAAAAGATGTGCAACGATAACAAAATCAGTATAAACTTAATTACTGTGTTTAAATATAGCATGAAAATACTGCAGTATATCAAAATATATATAAAAAGGGGTTTACAAAAAAAGCAACTTTACAATAATAATAATAATAATAATAAATATGATTCAACAATTATTAAATTAAAATTTCAAAAGATCTCAGACACACGAGTTTATGGAGAACTTTACAATAATAATAATAATAATAATAATAATAATAATAATAATAAATATAATTCAACAATTATTAAATTAAAATTTCAAAAGATCTCAGACACACGGGTTTATGGAGAACTTTACAATAATAATAATAATAATAATAATAATAATAATAATAATAATAATAATAATAATAATAATAATAATAATAATAATAATAATAAATCAACAATTATTAAATTAAAATTTCAAAAGATCTCAGAACACGAGTTTATGGAGGACCTAATACCTGTTCCAGCTATGAACAAATTGTGAAATGATTACATTACCTCCAACATCTCTTGGCCAGGGATACCAGGGATTACATGTTGAGCAACCAGCTACAAAATATAGATATTTTGTTATTATTCACCACAATATTTCCAATTGTTATATAATGAGTATCAACAAGTATTAACTGAATAGAATTGATCTACATTTTACCGTAATTCGTTGTATTACTAGTACCGTACTGTATTTTAGACCTACACCTATTTATAGACCTCCGATTACAACAGGAATTGTAAGCCTAAATATACATTTGATTGCACATATATTTTGAATAATTGTCCATTAATGATATTTATTATATATATTTTATTCAAACTTTTAGAGGTTAACCATTCCAACTCTACCAAGAAGGCCATCTGATGTTTAGGGGCCTCTGTTAAAAGTATACATTTTATCAAATAACAATAGTAATCAATCAATTATTTTTTTTTGTATTTTATTCTGGTATATGATAAAATACAAAAAGCAGAACCAGTCTAAAATTATTGTAGTACAAAAAATTCAAATACATTCAAAACACCAACTAACAAACACCATTATCATTAATACATATTCAAAAAAATAGAAATACGATTCATTAACCTATAAATTAATTAGACTACAAAATATATACATAAATTCCTAAATAGAAATAAATATATAAACAAATAATGAAAATAAATCTATGTGATGTTCGCACTATTGTAAAAAAAAATTATGTTTTCAATTTAGATTTATAAGTAATTAAATTTGAAAATTCTTTCAGAGAAATTGAGAGCCTATTAAAAAACTTAAGAGCTAAATAACTAAATGCACTCTCGAGTCTCAATTTGGGTTCGTGTATGGATGCACCTCTACAATTATTCAGACATTGTACATTTTCCCTTGCATATAAATTAATATTACAGGTCTAGCCTTTTACTTTCTTCCTTGCGTGCTCAGTGATGTTATGATGCTTAAGAAAATATACATGAAATTCAATCATTTTGATGTGTCAGGAATATATGATAAGAGTGATGTTTTGCCAGAATTTACTTTGAGTCGTCACTTGAGTTGACGTGAAAGTACCATTAGTCGTATTAGTAGGCCTCGTAGTAGTATCAGTCATAGATATGTTTGCGCCAGCATCTATAATACAAACATTATTTTGTAATGGTTAGGGATTACTTTACATGTTGAGCAACCAGCTACAAAATATAGATAATAATTTCGTTATTGTTATTTCCAATTGTAATATAATTTTGGCTGTCCCCTTTGGATAATATTGGACAGATGCACATTTTTACCGTATTTCGTCTTATTACTCGTGTTTTAAACCTCCACTTTTGTAGACCTCCGATTACAACAAGAATTGTAAGCTTAGATACATATGTTTTTGACTATTTTAAGTTGTCTATTAATATTATATTATTTCATTACAATTATTCAGACATTAAAGTGCATTTTCCTTGCATATAAATTGATATTACAAATATAGGCTTTTGCTTTCTTCGTGCTAATTGATCGCAAGTGATTCAGGTAAGTGAATCGAACCCACGACTACCATTGGTGTCATAAACAATAGACCATTGAACTTGCGCTTAGTGACTGGTGTTGAATCCGATCGCTAAGTAGCAGCGAGTACTGCAATTCTACCGATATCATGATGCGTAAGGAATAAATTTACCTTTAGTCGTCATTTGAGTTGACGTGAAAGTACCATTAGTAGGCCTCGTAGTAGTATCTGTCGTATGTGTGTTTGCGCCAGTACCTACATGCAAACATTTTTTTTATGGTTAGGAATTTACCGTAATTCGTCGTAATACTAATACTGTATTTTAGACCTACACCTATTTATAGAACGCCGACTACAACAAAATTATAAGCAACATACAAATATATCAAAATCCATAAATATGAAGGAAAGATAAAAAATAAAATAAATAAATAAGTAAATAAATAAATAATTAATGTACATTTTCCCTTGCATATAAATTTATATTACAGGTCTAGCCTTATACTTTCTTCCTTGCGTGCTCAGTGATGTTATGATGATTAAGGAAATATACATCAAATTCAATAATTTTGATGTGTGACAGGAATATATGATAGGAGTGATGTTTTGCCAGAATTTACTTTGAGTCGTCACTTGAGTTGACGTGAAAGTACCATTAGTCGTATTAGTAGGCCTCGTAGTAGTATCAGTCATAGATATGTTTGCGCCAGCATCTATAATACAAACATTATTTTGTAATGGTTAGAGATTACTTTACATGTTGAGCAACCAGCTACAAAAGATGGATAATAATTTCGTTATTGTTCACCACAATATTTCCAATTGTTATATAATGTGTGTAAACTAGAATTAACTAATTAATATTCATCTGTCACGTTAAAATGTTTCCCCTTGATCGATTTTGACCGCATTTATTGGTCCGGGAGATCGATTTTGGCTGTCCCCTTTGGATAATAGGGGCCTATTGGACAGATGCACATTTTACCGTATTTCGTCTTATTACTCGTGTTTTAAACCACCACTTTTGTAGACCTCCGATTACAACAAGAATTGTAAGCTTAGATAGATATGTTTTTGACTATTTTAAGTTGTCTATTAATATTATATTATTTTATTACAATTATTCAGACATTAAAGTGCATTTTCCTTGCATATAAATTGATATTACAAGTATTGGCTTTTGCTTTCTTAAGGCTCATTGATCGCAAGTGATTCAGGTAAGTGAATCGAACCCACGACTACCATTGTTGTCATAAACAATAGACCATTGAACTTGCGCTTAGTGACTGGTGTTGAATCCGATCCACAAGTAGCAGTGAGTAGGCCTACTGCAATTCTACCGATATCTTGATGCGTAAGGAATAAATTTACCTTTAGTCGTCATTTGAGTTAACGTGGAAGTACCATTAGTAGGCCCCGTAGTAGTATCTGTCGTATGTGTGTTTGCGCCAGTACCTACATGCAAATATTTTTTTTTTATGGTTAGGAATTTACCGTAATTCGTCGTAATACTAGTACTGTATTTTAGACATAAATAAATAAATAAATAAATAAATAAATAAATAAATAAATAAATAAATAAATAAATAAATAAATAAATAAATAAATAAATAAATAAATAAATAAATAAATAAATAAATAAATAAATAAATAAATATGAATGAATAAATAAATAAATAAATATGAATGAATAAATAAATAAATAAATAAATAAATATGAATGAATAAATAAATAAATAAATAAATATGAATGAATAAATAAATAAATATGAATGAATGAATGAATGAAAGAAATTCCAAGTTGATTGTTTTTTAAGTATCAACCTAAAAGAATCCAAAATATATAGTTTAGTAATGATCTATACACTAATAAAAACATTTCATTAAGTAATTCTTTTTGTCATTCTACAAAATATAGAAGATGAACATTGGAATTTCTCCGGCCGGACTGCACACATAGAAATTCCGAAAATAAAATCAACGCAAATCAATCTTTACATTGCTATATTATTCTTAAAACTGGAAAAACCATCACTCGATAAATCATGAAATTGACAAGTCACATAACTACTACACGTAACTTTAGCTGTCTGTCGTTTTGACGTCCTATTCAACTACTCATCTTCATTATATTTTATGGTTAAATTGACGTGGAATTATAGCAAAATTAATCACTGTCTATAATAAGCGGCAATCAACTACAGAATGATATTTTATAGAATATTACGCCTAATCCATATGCTGATAACAACTGACTGAAGCCTGGCACTTCATTACTTAAAATTTATGTTATTTTTAACATTAAAATGGTGCACTTTTAAGGAGAATACTCCACTGACTACTGTATATTTTTTTTTTCAACCAAAATGCATGACAGGGGCTTTTTGGAATATTAGACCTATTGTTTGCATTTGCAATAATTACACATTTTAAATTCATTTGGATAATATGATTTGTATGTAACCTGACAATAATGTTCTCTTTTAGGCCTATTTCACCCAAGACTTTTGGCCTCGAGTGGGACACAGTTAAATATTTCAAATGTATTTTGCAAAACATTCAGGCCTATTTTCATCATTTAGATGATTGGTTCATTTCTAGTGCTCCAACATTTAACATTTAGCATTTTAAGTAGACCAATTCTGAATATCTTACCATTGCAGACAGAGTAGCACACGGCAGCAAGAAGCAAAGATATAATATATTTCCAAGCCATTCCCATGATTACGTCACACATAAACAAATTCGAAATACTTTCTAAATAAGTACACGGTAGCGATGTGAATACGTTTATTCATAAACATCTATACGTTTTTGCAGATATGGCCTCTGTCTTGCCCTCAGTAACGTCAAACTTGTAGTTCAATAATGCATTATGCAGAATGTCAGGCTACATAACAAAAATGTTAGTATTTATGAAGTTCATATCCTACATTATTGATTAACAACCACAAGACCGATAGCAAATGCACTTTATTCAAATCAATTGATGACAAAAAAAGTAAATTCTAGCAGAATTGATTGAATAAATTATTTTTAAACGTCCAAACTTCTTGAAAAATTGTCCTGGGACAGACGTCACAAATTTACCATGGTAATATTAACATAGGATTGAGTTGCATTTACTAGTTTTCACTTAAGCCAGTTTACTTTTAAAGATGAGGTGTATTCAGAGTCGATTGATAAGAATATTGTTGACTTTTTTTCTATTTATATCTATTTGTTATGTTTGTTAGAAAACAAATTAAGACATCATGTTATTGGCATTTCATTGCTGTTGGATGTGCTTGTTGAAATAAAAAAATAAAGAAATGCTTTAGATCAGCCGTGGGCCACCACCGATCCGCCGAAGATTTTAATTCAACTCACGCAACATTGTTAAAATATTAATCATTTCCGGCCTATTTACAGTAAGTACTTGTATGTACTCTCAAAGAAAACGATTTTCTGGTAATATTAAACACGACATTACTTTGGTATTGTTAACACTTTTTCCGAGTGTGCTCAGTGTATGTAGTGCGCAAAGGACATCGATAAAGGAGGGAAGACTGACGGCGATAAAGAATTAAGTGGAGGGTTGATATATGCGCCCGAGCTCTAACCATTTCTAGATAGCCGTCGGAAGCATTTCGACGGCTATGTATACTCCTCGGATTATAGTAATTGCGAGATGGAGGGGGGAAGAGGGAGGAGTGCTTAACAAATTTGGTTGTCAAACTGTAGACCATCTACCCATATCTACGGATAGGTTTTTAATTTAGTGGCACGAACGCTTTACACCATGGTTGGTAGACACATTTTATGGTACCTGAATGTCCGGAAAATGTGCTTGCAACCTGCACAACCGATATTCCCACAACTTTAGTATATCCCCATGCTAAACAAAATTTAGCATGGGGATATACCCACCTCAGCCCCCACCTTGGTGAACATTAATAATAAATTCATATATTTTATGGATATTTTTAATTGAGAAAGTGTTCCGACGGCCCTGGTCAATGATGTCAAATGGTTGGATGGTTAAAAAAAAACCATGTGGTATATACAAAAAAAAAACTACTTTGGATCGTTTAAACTTGGATTTTTGAGAATCACAATGAAAATTTAAAAAAAAACAAAAAACAAAAAAAAAAACACAAAAAAACCCAAAACGCATCATTACCAAGTCCAAATGGATAAACTGTTAAAATGGCAAGGCTACATGTATTTGAAAGAAAACGTGCACGAGGTACCAATTTCAGTTGTTCGAATGGATACCAGTTAGCGATTCATTTTATAAAACACACGTGCTCTCGCCGGAAGGCGGCCAGTGTTTTTATTCTAGGATATTGTCAAGACTATGTGACGCTCTTTTCATGACAAAGCTAAGCTATTATAACTAGTAGTTCGTTTTCTGCATTTTGATAGTTATAATCGTGTATAGGCTAATGTTGATGCCAATTATCATTGATATATCAAAAAGACTAATTGCAGTAAAATCTAAATTGAATTACGAGTAGATTTTCAAAGTATGATAAAAAAAAGGGGGGTAATCTAGATAAAATAGATAGGCTCAAGCTGATAAACTGGTTTATTGATTAATCGTCATGGCGGCTTTCTACAGTAATTAAAAACTAGAAAACACACGCTTTCGTTGAGAGTCTGTTATTGGATAAACGAATTTGGATGCTAAACTGCAGATCATGCACGGATCGGGTTGTCTGGGTGCCCCCACCATGGTTGGTGAACAATCTTTTTTTACCCAGCTTGGGCAACCTGTAGGTAGGCCGGTGTTATCTTTCCGGGGGCAGCCTATTTAAAATTAGCACGGAGATAGAGAATATACCTTCTCAACCTCCTAAACAAGTGCATACTAAATGTTTTGGACGACCATGATTGTCTTCTGGCCCTTAAAGTTTGAAGGAGTTTGAGTTGCTTTTTTCAAATCATGGTTGGAGTTTGAATTGTGGGTTGCCTATATTATACATTCTTTATACTCTATACTGTCAGTGTGACCACTGGCAAAAATCAAAATTCCCAAAATTCAGTCTAAAAAATATATGTTTGTCTTGGCATATAATTAAGATCCATCCATCAATTTAGCGCCCCCTGTAGTAAATGATGGCGCAAAGATATTTGGGGTGGAGTAAGTAATACAAAAAACACCAACACTCGTCCTCGTGTAACATCTGCATGGAGCTTGAAATTTTATGTACATTATAATAACTTAATTGTAGTTTTGATTATTGAGTGGGAAGTATATTTACTATTACGGGATTTCTTCTCTGGTAAGTACTCATGTTAGTTGTCTTTAGGCCTAGGCTAGGCCTAGTGGAAAGTAGGCTGGAAACACTTCGATCAACAGCGAGGGTAGGCTCCTATTTGAATTTCCTGCCTTTCCGCCGGCCAGCTAGGCTGGCCAGGCACCTTATAAGCTTGGTTTAGCTCAGTTTCCATTGGATGGCTCACCCTATTCGCAACAGTCGCCGTCAGCTGTTGACTTTGCCCAGGGGTCCCAAGTACCTTTTGGCATTTGATCATTCCTGTGATCTGTATGTGGCACTCGCTTTGTTATTGTTTTGAACACTCACGAACTTTTGCAGTGCTGAATGCAACTCAACTGTTGTAAACGACACTACAATTGCCTAACTTTTACAGTGCTGAATGTAACTGTTATAAATGACAGCATAATTTCCAGGGGCGGATTTAGGGGGGGGCCGGCCCGGCCCCGGCCCCCCCTTTTGGGAGGTAAAAAAAGAAAAAAAAAAGAAAAAAAAGAGAGAAAAAGAAAAAAATGATAGCCCAGAATGCCTCAAATGTTATGTTCGGGCGTCTAGAACACAAAAATTTCGCGGGGGCATGCCCCAGACCCCCTACGACAGTGTTGTCTCAATCGGCCCAACTTTCGGCCCCCGCTTCCGGCCCCCCCTTTTGGACATTTCTGGATCCGCCCCTGATTTCCGAGTGCGCAGATCTGTTTTGAAAGGTGGGGTAAGGGGCCCGGGGAATTTTGTGAGGCCACACCCACCTTTGCCCACCATGGTGGGGCTGAGGTGCGAAAATTTTAGAAAATGGTACATTTAGATAGCCAAAAATGACACTCTTATTTATAGTAAAATTCATCATCACATCCACCATGACATTACGTCTTATGATCTTTTATCAGTGATTTTTGGCAACCATCTAATTAGTATGTGTGATGTACCATAGAAAATAAAACTTAAAAACATTGTCTTTCATGCAAGTACTTTACTTTACCTACTTCAAAGTCTTGAGCCCACACCCACATGAGCCCCACCATATTTGGGGCTGAGGTGGTGCAAAATTTGAGGAAATATACCTACTGTAGATGGCCGGAAATGACACACTTATATATCACCATTGTAGTCAAAATGAAGCACCAACAAATTTCTCATGATCTTTTATTAGCATTACCATAGTTGGGGCAGAGGATGCAGGATTTGGCAGTAGAGGGTGCACTTTTGCACTCTCATACTTTAAAAATCCTACTGGTACTATGTTCATAAATAATGATAAAAATAATAATAATACAGTCGACCTTCCCATTTACGTACACCTTGGGCTGAAAGCAGTTCATAATTGAGAAAATTCGTAAATGAGAAGTAAGAGTAGCGTCCTCAAGTTTAAAAACGCCAAGTTGTAGCCTATGCAGTAGCTAGGCCTGCCAACCAACATCTAGGCTTAATTTTGCATTTAAGTGTTCAATAAACATTTATAGAAATCGTTGAAGAATCAATTAAATGTTAATGCAAGACAAACTAATATTAAATATCGATTCATAATAGGCTAAGGAAATCGTTCCATGGATCAACCTAATCTTCCATGTCACTAAAAGTAGGCTCACTGTTCAACATAGAGTGTGGTGGCTGGGCCTAGCAGCAGCCTAACTTTAGCTAGGCCTCTCTCCGTAATTTGTAGCAAATTAGTAAACAAACATTGATATTAATTTGTATTAAAAGCACTGGGCTTATTATTTATTTTATTTAGTCAAGGTATTTTTGTATAATTTGAAAAAAGAAACTTCCTATTTTTTCCGACCTTCCTGACTTCCAAACATGTGGTTTTGGTACCTGTAGCGTTGAATGATGGGTAATTGCTGATGTCATCTTCTAAAAATAGAGCAGCTTTGCTAATCGTTTTTTGACAGTAAAAAACAAATAATATTAATACAGATGCTTATTAAATATCCGAACAGTGATTATTCTTAAAAGGATAAAAGTTGATGTTACCATACATTTATACTCGGACTAGCTGATTCGATTTTCAGTGCATTTAGACAGAGTAGGGTAGGCCCCCCTGGTATAGGCTGCCCAGCCTTGCCCTTAGCCTAGACAAGGTAGGCCTAGCAGCTTGCACTGCCTGCCTGAATTTCGGCTAGTTTTGATTATTTTACATCATGTATTGGTTTGACTTTTCTAAACCTAAAGTAGTATGATGTATTTACGGAATATACTGTATAACTATTACTATAATGCATTTTTTAATTACCTTTGTAATTCGTTTTTCTTAAAATAAATAAAAATAACAAAAATTAAATGAATAAATCTAGCGATGATGTCATTGACCGAACGTTCGTAAAATAAAAGGGTCGTAAATGAGAAGTTCGTAAATGGGAAGGTCGACTGTATATATTAACAATACAATACAACAATTATTTTTCTTAATATGCACTTGCACCCCTTGAATCCGCCCCAGCATAGAAAATAAAAGTTTTAAAAACATTGTCATTACGATATTTACTTTACTTTACCTACAGTACTTCAAAGACGCGAGTCACACCCGTCTCAGCCCAACCATCTGAGGTGCGAAAATTTGGGGAAATACAGTAGTAGGCCTGCATTGCATCTAGATGGCCGGAAATGACACTCTTAGTTTACAGTATTAGTAAGGTAAGTCATCACCATGATCTTTTATCAGTAATATGTGGGATATACCATAGAATGTCTTTGATGTATTTACTTTACTTTACCTGTATCAAAGCCAAGTCTAAAGTACAGACACAAATTATCGCTTCGTAACCTCTCGTAATCTGCTCGTAGGTACGTTTTTGAACGTATCTACAAACCACTACGAAGGTCATTGTTATTTTAATTAGCTTTGCAATGATCGTAGGCTGGATCGTCAGCCTGATAAACAATGCGTAAACAATATTGAAATATAGTTTACCAGCTTTCAACACGTAAGCAATGTTGCAATTTACTAATAAACAATGTTAGAACTTGATTGTTTCCTTATACCCTAACTTATTAAATCGATCATGTTTTAAAACTGTGTTTAGTTCGCTAGCTGGGTAACCTAGTGGGCATTCAGTATGTTCAAATTTCGATGTCATTTAGGCTTACGTACGGCCTACATTTTCCCCTATAGAGGAGGAGAGCAGACAGTAGTTATACTGGTAAACTTTCCAATTCGGAGAATTTTGATCTGATATTATTCTTCTGGTAGTAAGAATTTTCTTCTTTTAAATAATACTGAGAGGAGACTCCCATGAATTCAATTGTACGTTTTTCTTATTGAAAAACAGCTCCATACTTTAAATTAACGGTCTGTACTCCTGTTTGTCATTCACAAATTATCAAACAATACATTGTTTATTCCAGTAAGCTACAGCAGTCTTTCTGTACAAATAAACAACATGCTTTTGCTTCGTAGGTTCGCTTCGCGTAGCCTTACTTAGATTGTTTATATCAGGCTACGATGTATCTACAAAGCCTGCGCGCAGGTTAGATCAGGCTATGATGTATAGTCTATGAAGCCTGTGCGCAGGTAAAAGTGCAATATTTTGTGGCGGTACTGTACATCTACCCATCCCCACCATGTTTGAGGCTGAGGTGCGAAAATTTGAGGATATAGTACCTCCAGCTGACCGGAAATGACACTAATTGATCTGTATTGTATACCTTAAAAAATAAAACTTAATTGTCTTTGTTGTATTTACATTACTTTACCCACTTTGCGTGCCGAAAATCTTACAAGTTACAGGACTTTTTCTCATTCTAAAATTATAACAACAGCACGCGCACTCGAGTTGTGTATTATAGGTATTACATTTATTGCCTTTGTTACTAGTAGAGAGGGCTATGACTCAATAGAACAATTAACAGTACAATTATTAAAAGTTACCTCGCCCCCGTCCCCGCCCACCCCATTTACTATCCCCACTCCGTGGATATGAACTGATAATAAATAGTTAATTTCTATTTCACTTATTAGCAGACAGGGCTAGGACTTATGTTTTTTGTTTTTTTTAAATATTACAATATTTTAATAATCGATACACTTTACAACTACCCCACACACTTCCCCACTACGCCTCCCATAAACTCTGTAGTGTGCTGATTTCATTTTTTTTCAGTGGAATGATTTTTTTTAATGATCCACTCTCCATTTAGTAGTTTTTATGAGTAGGTTAGCCTAAAAAACTGCAATATTTAATATTTCATACTAAATTAACCAGCTATAATCTCCCTCCCCCCAGATTACAACAAAGTTATATATTTCGAAACCGCCAAGGTGTTTAGATCAACCACTGAAAATTTCATGATGATCGGACTTTATCTTCCCACCTGTTGCTATGGCCTATTGATTCCCTATTTTTATTTCCATGTAGAATTTTAACTTTTTCAGTTAAATATATTAGTTCATCTTTAAAGGCAGTTTTCTCCAAAGTATGGTTTCATACATCTGAATTTCAAAATTACATTTCTCTGGCTGTACTTACCCTAGAAACCTCATTTAAAGACCAAATTAAAGTTTTTAATGTGATCTATCCGAATACATCAATAACTCATTTTTCAATTTTTGTACCACAAGACTCATTTTGTCACGACAGCTCACATATACAGTAAACCACCTAAGGCTGATCTATTGAATATAAATTATAATAATTCATTAGATCATAGAGATATAAAATTGTAAATTGACTAAACTAATCTATAGAGATTCTATTCCTGTAAAAGTTCATAATCAATCCACATAATATTATCTATTACTAGAAATTGCAAATTGCAAGTGAAGTGCTGCAAAGTACTTGTACTGCATATAAATGTTCTTCGAACAAAATTATTTATACGAGTCAAGTGAAAATAATGAATAATAAAAATATAACAAATAATATGAGACACGACCCATTGTCTATATTAGAACACATCTCATTGGGTAACAAAGTCGTAATTTTTCATTTTTGTCAAAAAGTGTCTATAGTGGTGAATTATAGTTTAGGTTTTTTTTAATAAAGTTTAAAAAATTTCTATGTATGTGGAAAATGTAGTTGAATACCAACAATTTTTATTTTGAAGACTGCATGGTCTTTATGGGGCAAGTTTCCAAGGGCGGGTTTTCTAGGGGTGAGTTGACTGCCAAAGAGTGTTGCCAAAGTGCGAGGCAGCGTGTTATTTGATCACAAGTGCGAGACATCGCAAGGGTGAGCCAGCGAGCCATGACGTCACGACAATAGATACGAGACGTTACTCGAGTTGTGCGAGGTATTGGCTGAGATTTGTGGAGTACAATTCAAAAAACAACTATGGTCTAATAATGAATTATTGTGATGTTAAATAGACAATGTTAGCTATCAAGGAGCGACGTTGTTTTTCATTGGGATCTTTGTCCCTTCAAGGCTAGGCCTATACCATCCTAGCTAGTCTATGCCTAGAGTAGGATAAGGCTAGCGCGACATGCGGACGTTGGTACGTGTTGGTTAGTCTACAAACGTCGCCTAAAGTAATTGATTTTACCCGGCAGAACGAACGAAGGAAACTCCTCTTTTCAGTCATCTTAGGCCCTTGTTTTTTGACAAACAATGACCTTTCAGGGGTCAAATTGCTGTCAAGAATATGAATTGGCTGCTTCGCAGCAATAATTTGAGGATTGTATACCAAAATAGATACATAAACCCAGTATCAGAAATAAACCATGCCTGATACTGTATGGAATGTTAAGCAAGAGTGTTTATATTCAGATATTTGATAAATATTGTTGGCTGTAGACTGTCATAAAAAAAAAACAATTAGGCTTTTATCGATTGTGACCTTGAACTGTGACTTTGACCCCTCAACATGTATTCACATTTAGATCTTTGTTTATGAATCACTTTGACCAAGTTTGCTAATTTTCTGATAAAAATTGTTAACTATAAGGACATTATATGATATAAAAAAAAGTAGTTCAACTCGTCAACCCTTCCCTTCCCAACCCTTAAAAATTAAATCACCCCCAGATCTTTTGGTTTGACAAGTTTCTGTTAAATACTGTGACCTGTAGGCTGTAGACAGACAGACAGACAAACATGCAAATAAACAAACAGGGTTTAAAAAATAACCTCCTTGGCAGAGGTAATCAGAGACTTGTTCAAGTCTAAGTCGGTCGGTTAGTTGGTCAAAGTCATTCAATTGGTTGGTCAGCCAATTAGCCAGTCAATTGGTTGGTCAGCCAATTAGCCAGTCAATCAATCAGAGAACAAGAATGGAGAGAGTTCAACTGAAATTGGTTGTTTCAAAACAGAAAATAAAATGTAAACGTAAATATTATTAGAAAACTGTGATGTTTTACCTTGACTTGGCATACTTGTACCATCAGTAGATTTGATAGGGGCAGCAACTACAAAAATAAATTTTATCCATTGTGGTGTATTGTAAGGTCTATAGGCCTGTTCAAAGTACGTAGGTCTAGTATTCCAGAAAGTCATTAAAAATAGGGAGAAAAAGTGTGATGTCACTTTTCCTGGTTACCGGTATCGCTCGGGCCGCAATATTTTTTTTCCTATATGAGAATTGCCATGTCATGTCATTGCTACGTCATGTGACTCCTCAAACTCAGTCGAGCATAGAACAAGTACAGTAATTTAGTGCGATTAAACAGCCCGTCTCATTGCTTTGTGATTCTACCTGAGACAACTACAGTATAAAAATGTAAAGTTGTCTCAGGTTGTACGAAAAAGAGACAAGATTCAGAGTGCGAACAAGCACGACTTGGCTCGTCTGTCCATGGTCGGTCTGTCTCGCTCGCTTTTATCTTTGGAGGAATAATGACTGTTGTATTAAATTATTAGTCATTTTTTAATCTGCGTCAGCGCAGCGTTGAGAATCACAGCATCGTATGAAAAAACAAATTATTGGCAAAGTGCTGTACTTAAATAGGACTTTTGATAGTGAAATGCCAAGGTTTCCATATAGGCCTTACTGTTTGTATTACCGTACTGTGAATACAGGTACTGCGAAATCTTTAAAAATAACCATTGTATGTGGGGAAACAACAGTTGATACTTGCATTCAACCCTGTATAAAAAAAAGCTTAATTATTCCATACTTTCTGATGGCATACAATAATCAAACCTCTTTGTTTTATAACAGCCCATTCTAGTAGGATAGTGTGAGTGGATAGCTTATCTTAGTAAATATTTTGTCTTTGAAATGAACAGCTTGGGTGAAAATTCTTGCGTATGCATTATGAAAGTTTATAACAGTTAGTCGATACAAAAGTTAACAGTTGAATAATTTCTTGCTTTTGCATAATGTGTTTCTATATTTTCTTAAGATTGGGAAATTAAATCAATTGCTCTGCAGAATGTTGCATACCCTATTAAAATGATAGTAGACATTGAAGTCTCTTTAATATTCTGTGTGTGTTAAATATAGATGAGTTAAGTTAATTTAGGTTAAATGGCCATCCCTCTATTGTGATAACAGATATTACAAATATGGTGAAGATTTTTAGAGAATTTTTTTTTTCTAAATATCAACTTACTCTCGCAGATATGTCCGGATTTTCGGTGCATGCCTTCTATGTAGAAGTCAAATATTGTTCTGTTATCAAATTTTAAGTTTAAGTAAACAACTGCTGTGAAGTTAGAATGCAAAAATGGTTGATCATCTCCCCACATAAGCCAATC